TATCATCAGTACAAATAAATAGTAATTTCAACATTCCATATAAATTCAATGTATTATTAAAATATTTATATTAAAATTAAAAGATTCAAGAATAAGCCAGTTTCTTTGACTTTCCTTGGTCAGTTTCTCTTTCAAACTGCAAAAAGGCAGTATATTTCATGATGTGCATCCAACACCAGACATATATTTTCAACCATTTGAAATAAATCGTTATTTTTTTATAATGTTCAATAATCTCGAGTTCTCTCATGACCAGCAGACTTTCTAATTTCGAGAGGCTGGTCTCCTGAGGAGACCTTTAATTAAAATACCGTTTTCGAGGAAAAATCCTTTATATTATCAACGCAGTGATCATTTGGACATAAAATCTTTCCCAAATGTACCGCTCGTTAGGCAAGCCTTTCAATTTCATTTATATAGTACAGCAATTTCCTTCTTTGCATTCTCATGTCCGCCATGTTTGTTACAAATTCTGCCAGGCGCTTCGCTTCCCAAGTCCTCCCCAAGCACCCCCGCGCGCTTGCTCAGCCACTGATCTATATAAAAAAACTGTAGTGTTGCTGTTTTTAGTACGTTATTTGCGCCTGGGTACGAGGCTGCCTCCGCGTAGTATCTGCAGAGGCATGCATGAAATAAACTAATGTCAGATAGGCCATACACGGCCAAAAGTAGTCACGTTGATCGTGTTAAAAACAACATGCATTTCATTAGGATTAACATTCACTACCATTTGATTGTACAACGCCTCGTGGCGCTCAAGCAAATCATTAATAGGATGAGATAATGTTCTCATGTCAATATAATTCCATTTTCCCGAAGTTCATCTAGTATCACTTCCATTGCAACAAAACAACAAATGAATACAACAAGTGAAACAATTTATTTATATGCAACAAATCTCAAATTCAAAAGGAGGAAAAAAAGGGGGTATGGCGAACACGAAAATGTATTATATGTTTAGAGCAAAAATATTGTTACTTTTTGCCGTGACGTCATAGCACCCAAACAATAACGGTGGCTGTCCTGCCTGGGTTAGAACGCCCAGTCAGTAATCGGGCCATCGGGCGGGCCGGCCTAATCGGGCCAAAAAGTGCCATTTCGGGCCTAATCGGGCCAAATATAATAATCCGGAACTCGAAAAAATGAGCTAGTTATTGATAGGAATTCGTTGAGCAAACATGGGTCGCACGCGTAGGGACTGCCCTGTATTTGGTTGTGGTAGTACAAATCTTGCAAGGTTAGCAAATCATCTCGATCAAGTACATGATATGAACACAGAGGAACGCATGAAATGGTTGAAGTGGAGTAAAGTAGGAATCTGTGTACCTCGACAGAGTGAAGAGCCAAAAGAATTCAACGTAGAAAAGAGTCTAGAAAATTTACTAGAGCGACAAGAGGAGATGGAGAGAAACTTTAACGTTTACTTACAAAATGCAAGATCTTTAGCATGGAGACAATAGTAAACGAAAATCTAAATCGGAGGACCACAAGAAATGATTGGCATTTTAGTTTATTTACTCGACTACGAGAAAGTACTATTGTTGCCTACGAACAAGAAATGATGTGCATTCAAAGTTATGGATGTTAAACTTTGTTAAGCCCGTAGAGCATTAAAGAACAGAACTACTAAACGGAGGATGGAACAGTTTACAACGATCTAAACTGGAGAACACTGTAAAAGCCGGACAATATGTTTAAGAACTGTTTATTTGTGTAAATAATTATTGTACTTTAAAAAATCAATAGTTTAAAAACTGAATCTATGCCGTACCAATTTGAGTCTCATTAGCATTAACATTCAATACCATTTGACTGTACAGCGCTCCGTGATGCTCAAACAAATATTTGACATGATGGGATAATGTTCTCATGTCAATACCATTTTCTCGAAGCCCATCTAATATCGCCTTCCATTGCAACAGCAAATGAATACAACAAGTGAAACAATTTATTTATATGTAAAAATCATGACTGACGTCATCATGTACAACATTTCATAAAAAAATACACGTAATCATCTACAACTTTAACTCGTTTGCAAAATCATGCATGAATTTAGTTGTTAAATAACTGTTCTTATTGCAACTCTGACCCTCTAATGGAAAAAAATGCCAATTGTTCGTCAGGTGCCCACTCAAAAAACCGGCACGAACTCTCCTTGTTATTCGGACAACTAAAGAACAATCGATCTTTGTTAAGACCTTCTTTTTTCACCTTACAGACCACACACGGTAATCCATGACGACATTCCGGTTTCGCCAATGGCTGCACATCACCCCACATCCAAAAGGAACAAGGCTTCGTCTTTTCTCCACACACGAAGAACGGTCTTCCATAATTCACTTTCATCAAATCTTTTACCACACACATTTTCGCAAGCTTATGATGTTCATCGCACCGAGGATGAGGCTGCTCCGTACATCTCCAAGCTGTTATAGCTTTTTCATACATGTAGCCTTCATCTTCTGCACAGAAGAAATTGCAGGTAGGGTTTTGACCACAAAACCAAAATGATCCATTGCTTGTTGTGGAATAGGCAGCAGGTTTTCCATCTAAACACTTCATCTTGTTAAGTTCTCTCTGCGAAAGCTGTGTAAACACTACGCTCGTGTACACTCGAAGACCTCAATTTATACGGACAGTATACGAAATCCGGTTCTAACCGGTATTGTAGCGCTTACAAGGATCATATTTTTTACAATAAACGTTATGCGACAAATGTTATGCGACAAATACTTGCTGACGCCATCTGGAAATTCCAAAAGATCACGCGACAAATGTTATGCGACAATGTTTAAAAAATGACGTCACTCTTATCCCACCTGCTAACGTCATATGGCGGGAAAATTACGCTGATCCTCAAAATGCTGACGTCATATGGCGGGAAAATTTTGCCAGATGGGGGGGGGGGGGCACATCTACTCTCGCCCTCAATCGTGTCACATAAAATTCACATATTCAGTTACTATCTAATCGTAGTTTCCCTTGTTTTTTGCGTACATGTTCACCATCACAGGAATTGGAGTAAATAAATAAAGGATAACCATTTGAACTACTGGTCCTCATTATTTAGGCTACACAATGTCTTACACCAGTACTTGTCCAATTACCTATTTCATACCAATGAATGAATTCGGATTTTTCCCAACAAAAGGATTGTTTCTCGTTATATACTATGCATAAACAGTCAAAAGAGATGCATAAAATGCCCTTTAAACTGGAACACTGGGTATTAACATAGATAGATAGAGATAGATAGTGTATTTAAAATTCACCTTGCAGCTGGACAGCTGAATTGCGTGATTTACAAGAGTATATAAGACATTATTTAAAAGATAGAATATGGGTTAATTAGGCATATTTACAAATGGTCATTAAAACGCTTAGTACTAAAAATTACATTAATTTAAGTTACTAGACATAGGAATAAAAGGGTTTTTTAAATCTTTCTGTATTAGTTTCGAATCGTTCAAACTGCAGTCTATTGTTCCTAAGTTGGTAAACCGACTCATGTTTGGGAGGCAGTAAATTATTCAGTTTGTGTGTCGGATTGTTAATAATATTTGTGAAAAGTTTGTTACACATTTCTTCGCGTCTTTGGAACAAAGTTTGAAGATTGAAATATTCTAAAGTTTCGCTATATGAGTTCGTGGGTAAAATGATCTTCAGTGCTCGCTTTTGTACCGTCTCAAGATCTTCTGACAGAAAGGATGGAATTGAGTAATGGAAAACCGGGGCACAATATTCCAAAATGGGCCTGATAACTGTACAGTAGGACTGACTTTTGCGCGCTTAAGTAAGATAATGAAGTAAAGACGTTTGTTAGCTTTTTTGATGACTTCGTTAATGTGGTTAGTCCATTTAAGGTTACTAGAGATGGTGAGGCCTAGAATTTTAGCGTTTTGGACAACAGGCAATTTCTTCCCAATCCCGTAGACTGTAAGAGGGTCGAAGTTCTGTTTCATGGATTTAAAGTCGATTTGGATTTCTTTACATTTATCTGCATTAAGAAGTAATCTGTTGGAATTCGACCAGTTCTCTACTGTGGTAACTGCGTCTTGGGCTTTGCTGGTATCGCCTTTTTTAACAACCTCAGAAACGGTTGTATCATCGACATACTTCCAAGTAGATACTTCAGTGATTTTAAGATCATTGATCATCTATAGAAAAAGCCATGGCCCAAGTTTCGTGCCTTGAGGGACACCAGCCGGGACAGCACCCCACTCTGAAACGCAGTCGGTTGCGAGTTTAACTCTTTGTTTTCTGTCCAATAGAAAATCAATAGTCCAGCGTACGACTGCCTTCGGAATTGGTAATCTGGAGATCTTATCAGCGAGTATACAATGGTCAATAAGGTCAAACGCTTTTTTATAGTCAAACAGGGCTACTCTGACTGCTGCGCCAGTGCCATCAGTTGATTGGGACCAATTGTGGATCATTGATATCGCTGCCATAGATGTAGAGGATTTTGGTATCACTCCAAATTGGTTGGGGTCTATTTGACACAGAATAGCTGGCCCAATGAATTTAGAAACAACGAATTCTTCTGCTACTTTAGAAAGGGCTGGGGTGAGGGATATTGGTCTTAAATGTTTACAAATTTCGGTTACCGGTTTCGTTTTTATGATTGGAACAACATCAGCTGCTTTCCACGAGGCAGGGAGTCGTTGTTCATTAAAACTGCTATTGAGAATCGAACTGACAGGCTGGGCGAGAACTTCTGCATATTCGTTTAACACCCAATTCGGAACACCGTCTGGGCCTGAGGCTTTTCTGGGGTCAAGGGACGCAAGCTCTTTATACACATCAAATTCATCGAGATGGAGGACAGAGTCATTTGGATCGTAGGAGGGAAGAGAAGTAAGAGGTTGGTAAGTTTTCATGGGGTCTAGGAAGGCTGTGTTTATGAGATTTGCAATCTCATTTGGAGACTTCCGGTCAAAATCGTCAATGTGAATTTGGTTATATCATACCTAATTTTAGTGTGCAGTGATAACCAATTTGTGCAGTGATAAAAGTAAAATGTGCAGTGATAAAATGTAAAATGTGCAGTGATAAAATTTGCTTTGATAAGTTGTTAATTAACACAAGAGAATGATTTAATTGAAATTGAAATGATGACTGCCAAATTATCGAATTAAATAATAATATATGTTTTTTGTACGAAAATCATGAGATTCAGGCAATTTTTAGTAAAAATCTGGCTTTTGGTATGTCCGGAAAAATTTTTTGACCCTTAAAATGGTACACTGACCAAAATTTTTTGGGCGACGGGGGGGGGGGAGGAGGTCGCCAAAAATTTCCGAATATTCGGAAATTTTCTTAGTCATTCGGAAATTTTTGGCAGAAAATGTGCAGTGATAAAAAATTCTTAAAATTAGGTATGGGTTATATAGATCTTCCGCTCCCGTTGAGGGGGTCATACCTGCAATCTGTTTTACTTCTTTCCACCAACGACTTGGTTTTGACTTTTTTAAATGTTCAACCTTCAACGAATAAAACTTTTCACGGCATTTTTTTCTTTCGCGATTAACTCGGTTGCGGTAATACCTAAACACTTCGTTATTGCCGTTAGAAAATGCTGCTTGGCGTTTTTTTATAAGAATCTTAAAATTAGCCGGTTAAATTTTGTTTTCGAGTTTGAATTCCCGTTCTTGGGCAAGTTAATTTCTTTAATTCTGGGCGATTAAAGGGTTTGGCAGAGGCTCGTCTGCCGTAAGATCTGCTTTCTGTTTAATTAGGGGATTAGGCTGGGACTCGTCTGCCATACGATCGTCTGCCGTAAGATCTACTTTCTGTTTAGTTTGAGAATTAGGCTGGGGCACGTCTGTCGTAAAATCAATATTACTTACGGACGGACTAACATATTGTTGGTTATCGTGAGGTAGATTGTTATCGATATTTCGAGGTGAACTGAAACTGTTTTTATTCAAATTAATAGATTGCTTGCGGTTACGCGTTGAGGGTTCTTTTGAAATATTAGATAGGTTAATCGCTCCACTGCTTTTGTTCCGATACTCTTGGGACATGAAATGCACTAATTTTTCAAGGTTCAATAACCTTGACCTAAAGGATAGATTTTCTTCGCTAAGTCGGGAAATAATTTCGTCTTGATTATGTACAACGGCTTCCATATCTACTAGTTTTACTCTTAGCGAGATAATATCCGACTCATGCTCGTTTTCAGACACTGCGGCAAGCATACGCGATTCTAAAATCGTCAAATCTAGTTTAATACCCTCCATGTCGGCGTTAAGATGAGCACAATTACAGTCAGAAAGCTCGGGTTCATTCATGCAATACTTATCTGTAGCAGCGTGTTCGGTGACTTTATTGTTTAATTGACCAGTATAACTAGTGCTAGATGAATCAGTTCTTCGTTGATACTCTCCTTTAACTTCCCATCAGCGGCGGCGGAACAGATTTCATTCTGGGGGGGCTAAATTTTTTCGGCGACCTCCCCCCTCCTCCCCCCCCCCCGTCGCCAAAAAAATTCCGGTCAGTGTACCATTTTAGGGGTACAATATACAAAAAAAGGGACGAAAAAATTTTTTCGGACTTATATCTAAAAATTTTTTCCGAAATAGACTTTTTTTAAACAAAATATTGCAAATTTGTCCTCTCATACCTAAATTTTCAAAAAATAACCTAAATTTTTCCGTAATTATCAAATTTTTTTCTCCAAAAACTCAAATTTTCTGGGGGGGCTAAGCCCCCCCACTTTTACTTCTGGGGGGGGGGCTTTAGCCCCCCTAGCCCCCCCTGTTCCGCCGCCCCTGCTTCCCATTTAGAGTTATTGAACGAGTACTCGGATGCCATCTATTAAAGATCTAAATCTACAGATTTGTATTGCTTCACGTCTCCACCTGGGCAGCCCCATTCGCCATCAGTTGTCGGTAAAAATTCTTCGACAAATTTCTTTAATTCTTCGAACGAATCCTTCCAGATTAACTTTCCTTTATTGTTTATCGAAATGCCGTGTATTAGGCTATTTCCTTTGCGCATATTTGAGTCCATAACGTTATCGCACATAGCCAACGTGTTATCCCTGTGTCGTGCTTTTATATATATATTTTACATTTTTCGCGCATGCATGCTTCCCAAAATAACATGTCTGACAGTCTTAGAAGATGGGAAAAGACATTTTTGCACCACAATGCACGTCAACGGTTTTTGATTCGTTAATTAAAATACCATGTTTTTGTATATAATCACTAGATAGACATTTTTACAATTCAGGATCCTTGCTAAAAAAATTCATTACCAATTGAGCAATTGCGTTGTCCTTGACTCCTTGTAACTCGTAAAAGGGTCAAGATGGCGCCATATGGGGGAAAACGTGGCATATTGCACTTGTTATATCTTCGAAACGAGTTCTTTTTTTACAATGCATGAGCATATCATAAACTTCACCCCTGGGAAATTTCAGCAAAGTGAATCTAATAAAATAATTAATAATCTTAATAGTATTTTGGCTTATACAGAACATTACAATTCAAGAATTGGTGGTTTTCAGAAAGTGTTTTCTGAGGGCAGTAGAGTGTAGTCATTCAGAAATGTGGACTACACTGACAGAACTGAGCCTGGATGGAAATTAAACTGCCGCAAGATAGTTCTCAGTGAAATCCACCAATAGTATAAACTTGTATAAACTATAAAGTAATCTTTCGCGTCATTATAGATCTATATATATTATGAGACTAATTCACGCGAAGCCGGAGGAATTTGCAACGGTAAATTCATGACAACGTGTAACCCGCGTGTGGAAGGCCAAGAGCATGCTGCTCACATTCGTCCAGTTTTATGTGTCCCGTGCGCAGGAAGAAATCGTCTCAAATTCCTCCGTTCTCGGGTGAACGTTTATTTAATTAAACATAAATTATTACAAAACTGTTAAGTACAATATCGAGTTAGATTAATTTATTTACTTATTATATACTAGTAATGTTTTTATTATTTTTTTATTTATAAAAGTACTTCATACACAGGGAGCCCAAGCGTTGATCTGTGTTAGTGTTGTATGTTTTTCAGTTTATTTATTTTAATGTCTTTATATTGCATTTTAATTGAATTATAACACTAAATTACACTAATATGCATGTCATATAATAATAATACTCCTATAGTCGAACATATAATAACAACATATAAGTTGATTTGTTTAAGATCTATTATTAGCTTATATAAAAGCACCGCCTTTCGAACCTGACAGCCCGTTCGCAGGATACACGCGTTATTTCGCACTGAAATAGTTTATATTGTTGCCGCCCCCCATCAGTGAACTATATATAGTTCAGTGCCCCAAAGTGCCCCCCATTTCAAATCCTGCGTGTATCCTGCGAACGGGCTGTCAGGTTCGAAAGGCGGTGCTTTTATATAAGCTATTAAATAATAGATCTTAAATAAATAAACTGAAAAACATACAAATACAAATCAACTTATATGTTGTTATTATATGTTCGACTATAGGAGTATTATTATTATATGACATATTAGTGTAATTTAGTGTTATAATTAATTTAAAAGGCAATATAAAGACACTAAAATAAATAAACTGAAAACATACAACACTAACACAGATCAATGCCTGGGCTCCCTGTGCTTCATACAAACTAAAGTCTAAACTAATTTTTTAAATTTGTTTTCATCAAATATGTATACTAGCTTTAGTGATACCTATATATTCTATAATCGGTAATTGTCATGGTGAATACAAATTACGTTTTTGTTATAATACACAGCCAATTTAAATCTTTTTAATTCAGGCAAAGTTTTGAATTTTCATTAACTCGTTGCTTCGTTACGAACCATTCAAACAAGCCCAACACTGCCAACATTAGGGCCATTTATACGAGACAAAATAAGTCGCGACTTAAATAAGACGCGAGTTTGTCGTATAAAAGGTACAAAATTCTTATGTAAGACGCGTCTTGGATAAGACGCGACTTAAATAAGAACACGATTTTTAGCTGTTCTTATTTAAGTCGCGTTTTAAATAAATTATTTTGGATAAAAAGTCTAACTACACATGCCCAAAACTTGAAACAACGTAAAATTATTGGCCTTGCATATTAAAATAAAAACAACCAAAACAACATTATAGCTATAGCAAGTAAATAAGTAAATTAGACTAGAGCCATAAAGAACCAATTATACGATAATTCCGCTTAAATAAGACGCGTCTTATGTAAGTCGCGACTTATTTTATTCCGTATAAATGGCCCTATTGTCAAACATGATTTAGCACCTTTCAACATTACCAAACATAATTTTCAAACAGTCCCAATGTTGCATTCTACAATGTATAGGACGATGTTGGACCGACATAATGGATTGGTTTGAAGACCTGTAGGTTTTCAATAGACCCTTTCGATAATTACGTCACGTATCTCATCTTGGCCTGAGAGCCTCATTCTCATGTTTCAAGATGAATGGTGATTGGCTCACAATTCATGAGAGCAAGGCTCCCAGACCAAAACAAGATATGTGACGTAATTATCGAAGGGGTCTATACCGGTTTACCATACATCCTCTTTAAGTTCCACACTGAAATAAACCCGCTCTCTAAATGGCAATTATTCCCAAAGTTCATGGCCAATCAAGTGAATTCATGCAAACGTTATTAAGCCACCTCTTCATTAAGACCCACCTCTTCTTTCCAAACAAAGAATGGAAGAAACAGGTGTGTAATGATTAGAATGCTTAATGATAGTTTATTAATGCTGAATGTCACGTTAATTTGCTGCGTTTTTTTTTATTGGCTGCGTTTTTGTAAAATCATTAAGCCTCCCCCCTTCTCCAATAAGTCCCCTCTCTCAAGCGTGCCTGAAAAATATAAGCAACCCCGGGGGTTAATAGAGGGTTGGGGTAATACATTTAAATTATATTGTATTTCCCCCCCCCCCCCTCAAAAATCAAATGGTCCGCCCCTAAATAGAATGCTTTTGTTTGTACAAAAGTATTCGAAATGTATATTACATGCACTATACCATGACGCTTTAATGGTTGAAGTTAGCCTCGGCAAAATTTGACTGAAATTCTTGGGCAAGCTGTGTGAAAGCTGCGACGACGTCATCACCATCCTTGGGAGCTAACTCAGTGAGCGAGACAGAAATTGATTGTAGAACTAACATGAAATCTTTCAGTAAATTATATGCATCTCCTTGCATTAATCCGTTTTCTTGTATTAAAGCTTTGTAGTTACCATGGTTGAAGAAGTCGTAAGCGTAAGCATTGAGGTCAACATCAACTTCGAGAGTTGGCACCACTTTAACATCTGTGTATACCTGAACAAATATAGAAATTACTTGATTACTATGACCACAAATAACGGTCTATGCCAATTCATCAAGAACCTATATGATAAACTCATATCATATATACAGCTAATTCAATTAAGGTTGTTTTTGAAGGTCAAAACCTTCGACCAGTCGACCTCTAAAGCCTAGTTTCCATTTGGTCGTTAGTTGTCGCTGGCGCGACAAGTGGCTGATGTAATAGAGTTCAACAAAACTTTATAAAACTCTGCAATCATTAAAACTGATTTGCATATAACACACAAAAAGACTATTGATATTAGACTATTTCACATCTACCGCTTGTCGTGCCAGCGACAACTAACGACCAAATGGAAACTAGGCTTAAGCGCGAGATGCACGATGTTTATTATTATGTGATTGTTTATGCATGCACGTTAGCATGATCTATACAGTAGCTACAGAGTGTCTCCCAAAAAAGTCCCCCTTTAGAAATCACTCTTGTGCGTTATTATACCTTTGGGAATTTAATTGTACATGTACTGTGGAAGCAGTTACAACTTCTCTTAATTCCGGAAGTATTTACTGTATAAGTTGTTCGCCAAATCACAGAATGAAGATCAGTAACAGAACGGCCACTCGGCGGTGCAACGTGTCCTCTTTTTTTATGCAAAAATATGCCGTTTACTGGCCAGAAGACGGAGCAGCCAGCCAGTACAGCGTGTTTATTGGCCGGAAATGTCATTGACTGGCTAGGAAAATGGCGGCCAACATGCATAATGCGACATGCGCGAGGACAGAAACTTCAAAGCTTCCGACGTAAGTGGCCCTTCTGTATGGATCTTTATTCTGTGCGCCAAATACACGTTGTTCTGTAGTTAGTAGAACCATTCTTACTCGAACTGACGGTAAGACGAATTTGTAATTTGACATTTTGTGTTGCTGTTCGTTTTAGAAGCTATTTTAAATTCCCAGAGGTATAACGTTTAACAACAAAAGGGACTTTTTTGGGGACACCCTGTAGTACAATCTGCAGTCATCAGTGCAGCTGGTACACATCTAGACACGCGTATTGATGACTTTCGTATTGATATACATGCAACTTGCTCTAACAAAGCGCATGTGGTACAGCACGGGCCATCAACGCATCCGATTTCTAGTAGAAGGTTAAAGTCATACGTTCGAGCGTTCTGTGCCAGCGCAGGTAGCGACAAAAACACCACAGTAAAACTTCGACGTTTCGAGCGAAGGGCCTTCGCTACTAACTTCCCGACGAATTAAGGGACTTCCTTTGAAACGTCGAATTTGTATTTTTTACGTAGTTGAATCCCTACCCATCTACAGTTTTCCGAGTCATATATTACCTGATAACGAATATTTGAAATAAGATCCTGAGAACTATACAGTCGATTATCAGTATTGCCAGATAATGCTGCAAAAGCTGAACATGCTTTATACGGCTGAGCACCGGATTGAAGTTTATCATCCAATGTCACTGCTGGTGAATTGAATTGATAATTCTCTGATGAAATTGATTTGGTGGAAGATAATGGTAACGTCACATCTTCTCCCAAAGTGTCGTACACATGAGCAGCCACTGTGCGGAGATATAGATCAAATACGTCATGAACTTTCTTGTTGTACTCCGCAAGACCAGCTTCAAACATGGCGGGTAAATTGTCGAGAACAACTTTGGATGTACTATGGTGACGACGTAACAACATTTTATGCAGTTTACGGCGGGCAAACAGATGACATAACACAACCACCAAAGATTTCAAGAAATCTTTAGAAAATTGTCCATCTGAAAAAATGCACAAAACTTACTAGTGTCAGTGGTCGTACGATAAATTCAGTGGAAACTACTTTACTGCAAATCTATTTGAGCTGGCCTATCTTTACAATTAAAAACATAACATCGTCCAATAGGGGCTTCGAGCCGGATGGATTTGCAAAACCACTCATGGGAATTCGATTAAAACCGCACAGTATTTAATCGTATATATTTTTTTTATCTCAGCCTCAGGGCTCCTCCCAATAAACGCCTACATGCTGTAGGCTTGATTTTAGATTTTGAGATTCGTTTGGGCCTACAGGGGGTTGATGGCTTTTATTTCAGGTTGCGTGAGGTTGAGGAGTTAATTCGAACTTCGCTGATTTGAAGGCAATAGACAAGACTATACACTATAGACTTTAATTCGAGATTGTACGGTTACAATATAGTTCATCGATCGTGCGAGTTCGAACTAAATAGAACCAAATAAACTATACTAAGTATAAGCCTAAATTTAACTATAAAATTAATATGTAGAGAATATATCGTGACAATAGGATCTGTTCAATACTTCGGTACAAATAATCAAGTTCAACAAGAAAATAAGTCATAATCTATCTTACTTTGGTTTCCTCTCTACTTCTTTTCGTTGATTTTGGCCAAATTTCAATTCCAATAAGGTTTTCCTTTCTACTTTAGATTTAGTGTTCTTTCTCTCAGATCTAATCGCTTTTCGTTTA